TTTCAATCGCCTCATATGTATGCAAAAGCTGAACAATAAATAATGAAGACCAAAGAAGAATTGATGCCTTTGAATTACGGTGTCGGTGAGGAAAACTGACTATACCGTGGACTGTCAGAAGAACAAACAAAATCTGTCTTGGAAGAAGTACACCCAGAATGCTCTTTAGAAGTGAGGATGGCAAGACTTTGTCTCACATACTTTGGACATGTTATCAAGAGAGGCTAGTCGCTGGAGAAGTACATCCATGCTAGGTAAAGTAGACGGTCAGCGAAAAAGAGGAAGATCCTCAAGAAGATGGATTGACATAATGGCTGCAACAGTGAGCTCAAACAGCAGTGATTGTGAGGATGATGCAGGACTGGGCAGTCCATGGGGTCACTATGAGCTGGAACCAACTTGATGGCACCTAACAACAACAACAACATTGTACTGAATCTATAGATTGCTTTAGGTAGCACTGACATCTTAACTATATTCATACAAACGGCCAACAAGCCTATGAAAAGATGCTCAACATCATTAGTCATTACAGAATGCCAATCAAGTCACAATGAGATATCACTTCAATTCCACTAAAATGGCTATGATTAACAAAACAGAACACAACAGATGGTTGGTTACAATGCAGAAAAATTGGAACACTCATCCATTGCTGGTGGGACTGTAAATGGCACAGCCACTGTAGAAAACAGTTTGGTGGTTCCTCAAAAGTTTAAACTTCAAATTACCGTATTACCTACCAATGCCCAAAAGAATTGGAAGCAGGAATGCAAACAGATACTTGTACTCCAATGTTCATTGCAGCACTCTTCACAATATACAAAAGGTGGTGTCTTAGTTATCTAGTGCTGCTGTAACAGAAATACCACAAGTGTATGGCTTTAACAAACAGAAATTTATTCTGTCACAGTCTGGGAAGCTAAAAGTCTGAATTTAGGGCACCAGTTCCAGGGGAAGACTTTCTCTCTCTGTCAGCTCTAGGGGAAGGTCCTTGTCATCAATCTTCCCCTGCTCTAGAAGCTTCTCAGCACAGGGACACTGGATCCAAACAACACGCTCTGCTCCTAGCACTTGTTTCTTGGTGACATGAGGTCCCACTCTCTCTGTTCACTCCTCTGTCCTTTTACTCTTGTAAAATAAAAGGTGATGTAGGCCACACCTCAGGGAAACTCCCCTTGCATTGGATCAGGGCTGTGACCTGAGAAACGGTGCTGCATCCCACCCCTAAACCTCTTTAACATAACCTAATCCTGCCTCATTATCCACAGACAGAGATTCGGATTTACAACACATAGATCAATTACATCAAATCACAAAATGGAGGACAATCACACAATACTGGGAATCATAGCCTAGCAAAGTTGACACACATTTTAGGGGGACACAATTCAATCCATAACAGGTGGAAACAGCCTAAATGTCTATCAACAGATGAATGAATAAATAAATGTAATACATATTATATATACAAAGGAATATTACATAACCATACAGAGAAATGAGGTTCTGCTACATTCTACAACATGGATTAACCTTGAAAATATTATGCTGAATGAAATAAGTCAGTCACAAAAAGACAAATATTCTATGAG